TTTTTTAGTGATAGTATTTAAACATCATAAATATTATTATTATTCTTTTATTTTTTTCATTATTTTTCTTGAAATTCGGACTAAGTCTTTATTTTTTATTATTATATATATATTTATTAAATAAAATTTTAATTATACGTTTTTTACATTTCAAAGTCGATCATTACTATATTAAGTATTCGTCATACATTACTCATTGAGTACTCAATGAGTATATGAGTATCCGGATATATATACTCATGAGTATCCGGATACTCATGCAGATCACTCATGAGTACAAACACTAGGTGGAAGTTAGTTTTTGATCGACATTCACAATTATCACATATATGTGTTACATTAAATTTATTAATATATTAATATAAGAAAATAATTTCCGCATAATTCTGTTAAAATCAAAACAAAGATTTTTGGTTTCTTTTCATTTTTCTTATATATATATAGTCTTTCTTTTTAAAAAAAGATTTGGTTCTTGTTCTATATATAACTCTTTATTATTATTATTATGTCAATGAAATTTTAATAGTCTTTATTGATTTAATTGAATACAAAAAGTTCTTTATCATTGTATATACAAAGAAAAGGATTATTTAATTTTTTTTTTTTTTTAAATAAATAAAGAATATATAAATAAATAAAAAAGTTTTTAAATTCAAAATAAAATAAAAAATATAAATTTTACTTGTAAAAAATATCAAATATCAAAACTAACCCACTCTATTTTCTTATTTCAAAATCAGTCATGCCAAAACCAAAAAACCAAGGCCCATGCATTATTTCTGGTTGTGATAAACCTGCACCTTATAGAAAATTACAAATTGGAACAATGGATAAAATTAGAAAGAAAGATTTAGAAAATAAATATTATTTTTTGGAAGAAGGTGACCAGCTTTGTTATAATCATTATATGAAAATTGTTGAGCCAGACAGACATGATAAACATAAAAATGATCAAATGAAAAGAAAATCCAGTGAATCATTAGATGTTGATTACTCAAAAAATCTTTGAACAAAATCTAATGATTCATATAACGAATCTTCATCTAACCAATCTGATGATACTTCTTCAGACAACCTGTCAATTAATATGGTTGATAATCAGTTAGACTGGTCTAAAATTAAAATTAATTTAACTGGAAGTAATGTTACCATGTCAAAAGAAGATTTTTTATCAATAGTTGAACATATAGATAAAATAGAACTTCAACCTGACAATAATTTATATTGTGTGGAAGATAATGAAGAACCTGGTTTTGATGCAATAAATAATGAAATTGATGATGGTAATTTATTTCTTATTATATTAAAATTAATTTTATTAATTTATAAATATTAAATTAATTCATTTATTTATTAAATAGATAATAATCTTACCTTTGCATCAAAGATTCAATTTTTAAGTGATGTCCTTTCTGATCAACAAAGAAAATTTAAAAACAAATTTGAATTAGACCCAGATAAATTTTCTGAAATAATAGAAAAACAAGATGAAAGACTAAAAGGATTTTTTGAAGAAATGGTCGATGCAATTATTCCAAAAAGAAGAAAAGAAAAAAATATAGAAAATGCCAAAAAATCAGTTGTTACCTTTTGCTATTTCTTGGCAGGTTTATGTAGTAAACGTACTAACTCATTAAAACTTGATCTTGGACTATATCTTGTTGGATCAGGAACAAGCAGTTCTGCAGTTGATATGCTATCAAGGATTGGTATCACAACATCCTATAAAACAATTGATAATTATAAGAAAGAACTCACCCAAAGAAAATTAATGAATATTTTAACGAAAATGTAAGTAATTCTTGAGAATTTATAATATTTTACAATATCATATAATTATTAATAATACATACATATCATTTAGGTGAATTCTTTATTTTGTTTTAACATTGATGATTATCACTCTATCCATGGATGGAGAAGACCAAAATACAACCACTCTTTCCACAGCAAATCATATGGCAACCTCTGTTTCTAAAAAAATAGAACAATGTAAAAAAGTTCCTGCGATATATAATCAAATTCATATCCATAATCCTAAAAATATTGAGGCAGATAGAATTAAATTACATTTAATGGATGAATTTAAAGGAATATTTGAAGTTAGTTATAATATGCGTAAAAAAAAATGGATTAGTCAAAATGCTTCAATCAATGAAACAAATAGAATTGAACTCCTTACTGTGCATTTTTATGATGCTTTAATCTTAGAAAAATATCATGATAGATCAATGAAAGGAGTTCGTATTATCAATCTACAACAAAAAAATCTACACTCTTTGAATGATTATCTTTGAAGTTCTTCAAACATTAACTAAAATTGAAAGTATTTCAAAATAATATAATCCCTATTGTTGCTGATTGGCCTGGACAGCTATTTTTAAGAAAAATAATAACAAAAATTAGTCAACAGGAACAACAACAAAATCTTAATACTGAATACAAAGTTTTTAAAAATTTTGTACCATTAATCGGACCTTTACACATATCATTAAATTCAAGAGAGCATATAATAATATTGCATTGGGAGTTCTTCAATAAGTTATTTCATTTATGTTTTTGGATCAAGAAAAGTGTTGGCAAAAAAACCAAAGCCTTGGAGAATTAATCTTTTGCTAGATCTTGCAAGTAGAGGTTGGAAAAAAATCTCTCGCATGATATTAAATAAATTTCCCAAAAATTGCAAAGATATTGAATATAGAATGATGATAGACCTTCTAGATAATATCATACCTTCAACTTTAGACATATACACAATATTATTTAGGTCAGGTTCTTTTGAAGAATACTTGGAAACTGTATTTCATATCTGGACCTTTGCATTGAGGTGGAGAAGAAAAAACTATAACAAAGCTCCTTTGGCATTTTTATCTGATTATTATTATTGGAAAGATAAAAATCATCCTTTTAATGAAACAATAAAGTTATATTTAGCTAATGATTATTATGTTGAAAACATACATAGTAAAATAAGAAACAATACAACCTCATTACATACTCCAGAAGCCATAATCAACCAAGCATACTTACTTGACCTTCATGATCAAACAACAATAAAAGCATTCAAAATGAACGTACATATCCATATACAGAACCAGTGCTGGAGGAGTTAACAATAAGAACTAGCTTGTTCTTGTTAAATTATTTCCATTCAATTTATTTAAATCTTGGAAAAAGTAAATTAGAAAATGAAGATAAAATTGTGGATACAAAACTTCTCCCAGCAGGTTACAACACATCATATCCCCCAAGTATTAACTTATGCGATCACTGCAAAGGTTTATTATCAACTTCCACAAATAATGAAGTTGTGCTAATATGTGGTCATGGATACCATGTGAATTGCTATAATGAATTAGAAAAACGATGTAGATATTGTGAAGAATATTATAAGAAGGGTATAGATAGTAATGTAAAATCATTCAATAAGAGACTTGAAAAAGGACCTGACATTCTAACCAATGATGATTATGATGAAGTTGAAGAAGAGGAAGTAGATGACAATGATGATACCAACACTCCTGTAAATAGTTTAAACATAGATTTGGATAGAGAGCTTAATTTAGTAAATGATTGGTAAATTTTCAACCTATTAATTAATAATATACTTTTAATGATAATTATTCAACTACAGTTCATTCATCATAGAGACAGTATTAGTATATGAGACATATGTTATAGCATGAAAACCATTATAGAAAAGGCTGTTATAGAAAGAGTGAACTGTATTCAATAAATATTTTGTTTATAGGTACAAATGTCTTGAACTATGATTTGTTAAAATGTCTTTTTTCACCTTTTTTCACTCTTCATCTAATTCATGCATCAAATTGTTCCAAATTGATCAGGGAGTGGAAAAGGAGAGAAAATAGGTTAAAATATATAAAACGATTATTTGTTTTTTTTTAAAATGTAAAAATGTACAAGTTACCAGTGTGTAAAATCCATGTGCAAAATGTGCGCCAGCGCACATTAAAATTTTGGTTTGCACTCCTTACATTAAAAATGTGCGCCATTTTGTACATGTAAAAAAAGTGCGCACATTTCGCGCACAGTTGCAAAATTAAAAATCATAAATAATAACTTAATTTTAAACCAATAAAACAAGGCTACGTCTCAAAAAAAAAAAATAAATAAATACATATTAATATATATTTAAAAAAAAAATTTATGTATTACCAAAAAATGAATTAAATATGACTCAAAGTATTAAAAAATTTTTTCCACCAATAAATCATAAACCGTTACCTATTTCATCTGACGAAACATCAGATGATACTATTATATCTGATAATAATAATGAAACTGACGAATTAAACAAAAGAAGGAAGTTAAATAAAAAAAACTCCGGGAGACATAAAAAAGAAAATTTAAAATTTAAACACAGCTGGAAAGTTGGCAGACCGTGGTTGAAATGTGAAATTGTTGAAGATCAAAAGCTAATGTTTTGTGCCATGTGCCAAAAAGCAAATCTTAAAGCATCTTTGTGGTCAACAACAGGTTGCAATTATATGAAACTGGAGTACGTTAAGAGACATGAAGATTCTAATGAACACAAAACTTCTATTAATTTTCTTGACCCAGCACAGACAAGTATTAAAGAAAGTGTACATTTATTATTAGGAATGGATGCAAAAAATATTATTCATCAAATGCGCAATGTTTATTTTCTTTCTCAACACAATATTGCTTTGAATGTTTTTCCTGATATGTCAGATTTTGTTACTTATCAAATGAATAATGTTGATTCTATAACTAATGAAGAACCATTGGAAATTTTACGTTCACCAAAATTTGAATTTAACAAAGATTCATTAGAAACAATTAAAAAAAATCAAAATAGCAATTATGCTACTTATAATAATAAAGTAGCTGGACGTGACTTTTTGAAGTCTATTGCTAGAATTATAGAAGAGAATGTTATTTTAGAAATTAAAAATTCAACATTCTGGTCACTTCTATTGGATGAAAGTAATACTAATTCAACTGCAGAAAAAACATTAGCATTGGTTTCAAAGCATATTACTGATGATATGCCAGTATTACGTTTTTTAGGATTAATAAAGATTAACAATGCTACTTCTGATTCTTTATTATCAGTTGTTGAGAGTTTTTTATTACAAAAAGGGTTGGAAATTAGTAAAATGTATCATTTTGGTAGTGATGGTGCATCCAACATGCGTGGTATGTTTATACATTAATATTAATTTTAAAAATTAAAAATTACAAATAATTGTAACAATTTAGTCAATTTATTTATAATAGGAGTTAACAATGGTTTATCATCATTACTTAAGCGAAAATCCATTTTTAACAAGCAATCATTGTATCGCTCATCGTGTGCATTTGGCAGCAGAGGACGCAGCTAAACAAATTCCTTATTTCAATAGGTATAAAGAAATAATTAAAACAGTTTATAGTTTTTTCTCTAATTCATATAAGAGAATGTATGAGTTGAAATCTATTCAAGAGAATAGTGAATGCCCTGACTTGGCAATATTGAATGTTATGGAGATACGGTGGTTATCATGGGCAAATGTGATAAATAATTTTCACCAAATATTAGATGATGTTCACCAAGCATTGTACAAACAAAAAGATAACAGTAGTGTTGCAAGTTTTTTGTA